ACTCGCCACTTGTAGTCGCATCAGTCCCAGACTGTGCATGGCTCTTTGGGGTGTCAGTGCCCGGCACTGACACTTCGTGTGTGATCGCATCAGGCCCAGCCTGTGCGTGAAGTTTCTTGGTGTCTGTGCCCCGCACAGACATATTGTCCTTCGTCGCAGCAGGTGTCGCCTGCTCGTGGTTCTTCACAGTGTCAGTGTTTGGCACTGACACGTCGCTTTGTCGTGTGCGGGCTCTCGCTCTCGCACGTGTCATCGCAGCTGATAGGTTCGTATCAGCTGAATTCTGCGGTTGTTTGGATGCAACCGTAGATCCTCCCCCACTTAAAGAGGAAGGCACCGCCCCGAGGGTACTCGGAAGCCGTGGATGCCGCATGGCGTTCACGTGCCCTGTCGATGCATGCACCGCGTTGTTGATGGCGAACTCAGCCATCGGCAAGTAATTGCACCAGTTGTGAAACGACTGGGCGTAGCTCATCAGCAAGTCCACGAGCACGCGGTTCACGCGCTCAGTTTGCCCGTCTGTCGTGTTGGGAATCCACGATTGTACCCCTCCCGCCACTCACAACAATTCGTCAGCTCCGCAAAACCGCGCCGTGAAGCGCGGATCGCGGTCCGACACAAAGTCGGTAGGCATGCCATGGTGCTTGAACACCATGTCGACGAACAGACGTGCCGTCTGTACGGAGGTCACCTCCGCTGCGACAGCAGCGAGATGCACCATCTTGCTGAAGCGGTCCACAAAGGCCACAATACCAGTCTTCCACCGGGAATCGTGCGGAAGACCAAACACGAAGTCCATCAAAACGGACTCCCAACACTCCGACGGAGTCGGCAGTGGTTGCAAAGGAGCCTGCGAGTGAGATGTTGGCTTCACTCACTGGCAAGCATCGCAAGTACGTACTTGCGCACCCACTTGTACTGGAGGTTCCAGTAGAAGTGTCTCGTGAGAAGAGAATACATCTTCTCACGTCCCGGACGTCCTGCCGTGGGGACATCGTGATACTCGTACATGATCCTGCTGCGCAGGTCAGGTTCATTCGGCACGAGAATGTGGAACGCATTGTCGTCTACAGCGCTGTAAACAGTAGACCGTCGTGCACACAATACCGGTATTGCAGCTAACTTCCGACGTGCTTTGTCGGAAGGATCTGAGAGAAACTCGATCGGCTGCTTCGCCTCTGCGTCATGCGCATACGCGGCCTTCACCTCGTCCAACAAGGACAACGACGGCGTGTATGTTCGAGCGACGTCAATCCGGTTGACGTCGACTGTCTTGACAGCATAAAATCCGGTCGTCGCGACAACGCGTCCGCGCCGACATTCAACCTTCCGGGTTTGTACTCGACCCGGAAGTTGTACTCCACGAAGAAGGACAACCACCTCTCCATTTGTTGCGAGATGTGCGGAGACTTCACAGCCGTCCGTAACGACGCGTGGTCCGTATAGACCACGAACGGCGTGTTGCCGAATAAGCACACTCGGAACTTCGCGAGTGCGTACTTCTTGGCAAGGGGTTCCTTGTCATTAGTTTCCCTCGGCTGACTTTAGCTGACGCAACTGGCAGTAGTCGACTCGATCTCGGCCCTCGTGATCGAGTTGCATTAACGCATATCCGATCGCAAAATCGGATGCGTCTCACACTACGTGAAAGGGACGATCTTGGTCAGCCGCAGCCAAGATCGGTGCTTCAGCCAAGCCCAGCTTGACTGCATCGAACGCCTGCTGACACTCATCAGTCCATACCTACGCAGCTCCCTTCTTCAGAAGCTGCGATAGTGGGCGAATCTTGCCTGCGTAGTTGTCCACGTATTTGCACAAGTACGTGGCAAGGCCAAGAAACTGTCGCAGTTCCTTTACGTTGGATGGCGTAGGCCATTCGTTGATCACTCTGACTTTCTCGGGGTCAGGGCGTACGCCATTCTTTCCAACGAGACACCCTAGCACGGGTATCTCGCTCGCACCGAAGATGCACTTCTTCGCATAGAGCCTGTGCTTGCGCATGAGCACAAGCAGTTCCCGGAGATGCTCCTTGTGCATCTCGACGCCCGTCTTCTCGTCCACAGCCCGGCTGTGAACGTATACATCGTCGAAGTAGCTCGGTGTGAAGTCGCACCGAACGCAATCGATGCGTCACGCGTCTATTGAAGGTTGCAGGAGCGTTCTTCAGTCCTTGCGGCATAACTAGCCACTCCCAAAGCATACGTCTTGGAGTGCTTACCGCCGTGAGAGGGATATCGCTCTCACGCATCAGGATCTGATAGAACCCGTCTCTCAGATCAAAAGCACTGTAGATGGTGCTCTTGGACATCGAATCGATGATAACATCTTTTCGAGGTATCGGAGTCTGTGCCGGTATCGTCGCATCGTTCAGCTTATTGTACGCATGAACGATGCACCAACCACTCTGTGTTCTTGACACAGAACGTTGGTGCGTTGTGCGGGGGGACTTTGACTCCTGCGCTTGTCCTGCCTTGCGACGACTTTCGAAGAAGT